TTATTACTTGTGACCACGTACAGTGGTCAATGTTATATATAACATTTCGCAGGAAGTCTGTATTAAATCCAAATTGCTTAATAGGGTTTAATAATCAAAGTGAGGATGTATGTATTGGAAAACTATACCATTCACCACCTTTCTGAAAGGCCCTGTTGACACTTTACATATATACACTACTGTTTATCAAGTTGCTGTAGAGTGTGTGCTTCTGCCAAAAGAGTATTTTAATATTACCAGAATTAGAAACAGAAAACTGTGTTGTTGAAAGCTGAGCTGAAGAAAGGTCAATTTGTCAAGTGGCTGGTTTAAAAAAAAATGGTGACTGAAATTTATTCTTATCCTCTTTGGAAACTTTTTTTTTCCCTTCGTCCTCACTGGTGGGCAGTCACCCTTAGGTAGCTGAAGAAAGAAACAGCTTTGTGCTTTTAATGAAGTTGCTACTGAATAGCTTCATTTTACATTGTCAACTTTTTATGCCTTATGCAAATAACACGTATATAACCTTCACTATTCAATATTAAAAACACAAAGAATAATTTCTGGAGAAAGAATGATAATTATTACATGCATATCCATTAAACCTCTAGCAAGAAACCCATGTGAATATATTTTAGAATGAAATAAGATAAATACTAGGGTAGCTCCACGGTTACAACGCAATAGTGGACATTATGACTTAATGTCCACTCTTTTTTACTTCTCAGATTTTGTGTACTTTTCCAAGTGCTATATGGGTTTAAACACTGCCAGAATTATTTTGCATATATAACAGGCTAAACATTTAATCTACTAGGTTATTAAGCTATTTCTCTTATTCATTAATTATTATGGGCAATGATATCAAAGAGGCATACATTTCTCAGGCCCCTCTTTCATTACCAGCACGAGCAATTAGTGTTCATTTTAGGGCCTTTTGGAGGAAAAAAAAAAAAGCAAAGTTCTTCACCACTTCTCCACAGTTGCTAAATATATGTATCAAATGGAGAATAACAAAGCCCATTAAGATGCAGATGTTGGGTAGGTAGTAGGCAAACTTAACAGCTAAACTGTTGATTCCAGCCATCCTCCTAGATTAACAACCTACTTAACATAGTCACTTAGAAGCCTCCAAGGCATCTCAAATTTAACATGTCCAATATTGATTCTTGGTTTGGTTTCATCCCAAACAGCTCCTTCTCTAGTCTTTACCATTTCATTAAAAGGAAAATCCAAAACATCGTAAATTCTGCTGACTATACCTTAAAAATAGAATAATAATCTCACCATCTCAACTGCTGCACTTTGGCAAGTCACCATCTGTCTAGTTTCCTAGGACTGCACCAACTAAATAGTACAACGTGGCTGGCTTTAAAGAACAGACATTTATTGTCTCACAGTTCTGGAGGCTACAATTCCAAATCAGGGTATTGGCCCTGTCAATTCCTTCTGCGGGCTCTGAGAGAGGAACTGTTCCATGACTCTCTCCCAGCTTCTGGTTTCTGCTAGCAATTCTTGCCACTTCTTTGCTGCTTGTAGATGTATCTTCACCTGGCATCTTACCCCATGTGACTCTTCTCAGTTTCTGTTCTCTCCTTTTGTAAAACTCTACTCAGAAGGGATTAGGATTTGCCCCAATCCTGTATGACTCAGTTAATTTAACTGATACCATCTTCAAAGAAACATTCTATTTCTAAGCAAGGTCACATTCACAGATACCGTGGTTAGGACTTCAGCATGTCTTTTTGGGGAACATAACTGAACCCACAACACCATCATCTCTAGATTACCAACAGATTGCTAATAGATTTCCTTGTTTATATACTTACCCCCAAGGAACCCTGGTGGCACAATGGTTAAGTGCTTGGCTGCTAACCGAAACATCGGAGGTTTGAACCCACCAGCAGCTCTGCAGGAGAAAAGACCTGGCGATCTGCTCCTGTAAAGATTATAGCCTAGGAAACCCTGTGGGGTAGTTTTATTCTGTCCTATAGGGTCTCTATGAGTCGAAGGCACATAACAACACCTACCCCCTTTGGCCTATTCTCAACATAGAGTGAAAGAATGATTCAATTTAAGTCATAGCAATAACATGTCCCACTTCTGCTCCAAACCCTTCAGTAGCTCCCTATCTCACCCAGAGTGCTAATGAAAGTGCTTAAAATGGCCTGTATGCTCCTTCCCCCCTCCTCAAAGATCTGCCCCAATGCCCCTGCTCTGTAAGCACTCCTATTGACTCTCCCTGTGGCTCACTCCACTCCTGACTCAATGGCCTTCTTGCTTTTCCTCAAATAGGCAGGCAGCTTCTTTCTGCCTTATGACCTTAGCTCTGTCTCTTCCTGGAATACTTTTCCTATAGATATCTACATGCCTAACTCCCCATCTCCTTTCAGTCTTCGCTCAAACCTCACCTTCTTAGTGAGACAACCCTGAGCACCCAGTTTAGTACTACAACCTACTTTGTCACCTCTCTACCCTAACTGTGCTTTAGTTTCCTGTTTGTTCATTGCTTGTATCAAACATACCATATAATTTACTTGTTCATTATCTTTACTTATTATTACCTGTTTTTCCTGCTAGAATGTAGGCTCCACAAGGGCAAGAGTATCCCCTCTCACCGTTATTGTGTTGTTTTGCATCTAAAACATTGCTACATTATAGGTGTTCAATAAATATTTGTTGACTAAATAAATAATAGATAAGTGGTAACTTTGGTGAAGGGTTAATCGGTACACAATACTGGGGAAGCCAGAACAACTTGTACAAGGCAAGGTCATGGAAGCTCCAGAGACACATCCAAACTCCCTGAGGGACCGAATTGTTGGGCTGAGGGCTGTGAGGACCCTGGTCTCGGGGAACATCTAGCTCAATTGGCATAACATAGTTTATAAAGAAAATATTCTACATTCTACTTTGGTGAGTAGCGTCTAGGGGCTTAAAAGCTTGTAAGTGGCCATCTAAGATACTCCACTGGTCTCACCCTGTCAGGAGCAAGGGAGGATGAAGAAAACCAAAGACACAAGGGAAAGACTAGTCCAAAGGACTAATGGACCACAACAACCATGGCTTCCACCAGACTGAGTCCAGTACAACTAGATGGTGCCCAGCTACCACCATTGACTACTCTGACAGGGATCGCAATAGAGGGTCTCAGACAGAGCTGGAGAAAAATGTAGAACAAAATTCTAACTCACAAAAAAGACCAGACTTTCTGGCCTGACAGAGGCTGGAGAAACTCCAAGAGTATGGCCCTCAGACACCCTTTTAGCTCAGTAACAAACTCATGAGCAATTAGTGTGGAAATGGTATAATCTCAGTTTCTTCATCCAAAGATTAGACAAGCCTATAAAACAAAATGAGACTAAAGGAGCACAACAGCCCAGGGGCAAGGACTAGAAGACAGGAGGGGACAGGAAAGCTGGTAATAGTGAACCCAAGGTTGAGAAGGGAGAGCGCTGACATGTCATGGGGTTGTTAACCAATGTCATAAAACAATATGTGTACTAACTGTTTAATGAGAAGCTAGTTTGTTCTGTAAACCTTCATATAAAGTACAATAAAGAAAGTTACAAAAATTTGTTGAATAAATGATTATTTCATCTAAATGAAATTTTATTAGTGACACAAAATAAGCACCATTAATGTTCTTTTCCATTAGCTGATATGTCTTATCTGTGGTATTTAGCATGTATCTACATGACTCATACGAGGGAGGTAGGCTTTGGTTCTGGGACTGAAGCTTGCTGAGGAGCAGTGAAATTGGTACCCTTGTTTCCCCCATTCCTCTGCTTTCTTTCCTAATTCATACAGAGGGAAAGAGAAAATAAGGCAGCAACAGGTGGGAAAGGCAACCACAATTAATTCAGTGCTTATGTTGTGATGGCTAACTGAATATCTTAACTTACAATATGACTAAAGGCCACCAAGACACAGAAGAAACTTCAGAGGCAGACATAATCATGAGAGCTTTAGGGTCACCATAAAGCATATATCCTACGAAAGAGACGCAATTAGATTGGGCCAGTCTTCGCCCAAGCAATGTATTTTCTTGGTTATTTCTCTAGTTATTAGTATCCCATTTTTCTACTCTTTAAATCCTTTCCTTTTATAGTATAAATCATTTTATTACATTTTGTAATACTATGGCTGGGCATGGGAAAAGAAGAGGAAATGCATTGTTTAAGAGTCCACGTGCGACATCCAAACTGTATGGGTTCTAATCTCAACTTTGCTACTAGCTATGCAACTGTTTAAGTTATATTCAACTTTCTACCTTAGTTTCCTTATCTGTAAAATGGAGATAATAAGTGTTCAGCTGGTAACTGAAAGGTCAGCTGTTTGAACCCACCAGCTGCTTCACGGGAGAAAAATATGACAGTTTGCGTCCATCAAGATTTACAGCGTTGGAAACTCCATGGGGCAGTTCTACTCTATCCTGTAGGGTCACTATGAGTCAGAATGGACTCGATGGCAATGGGTTTGGTGTTCTTTTAGTTATATTTGATAGGGTTGTTGTGAGGAATAATGTCTCATAACACAGAGTGCCTATTACATAGTATTTACTCTATAAATATCAGTTATTTTAATGAAATAATGGAACATTTTCTGAAAAGAAAAATATATGATTTAAAATTGCTTTCTATATCACATTTTCATAAAATGCTATTGTTCACAAAATGCTAACTGGATCATGGTGTCAAATTATCATTACTATTATTTTTTTAAAACTCTTTATGGGCCTTTTGAATATTCAAATTACTATACTAGAAAATTGATCATGTGGAACACTAGGTTTAGAGAGGGAAATGCTGCAGATTTTGATGTTGAAACTCCTCGCAGTTTCTCCGATGTCAGGAACTTCCCTGGGTAGCTCTTTCTCTAAGAAAGAGGTACACTGTCAAGAACCGTGCACTTGAGATTTTACCCTATTGCAAGCTAACAAGCTAGCCTGCCACAGTTTCATAGATTTTCGCAGAAGATGTGCGAGTCCCAGGTCAGAGGCAAAGGACTTTATTACTCACAGGATAACAGGCAGCATGAGCTCATATTCCCATCAAATCCCTTTTGCCCTCAAGTCCCACAGGGTGATATGGAGCAGTCAGGTAGATGCTAGGCAGGCAGTGGGTTTGCATCTGAAGGGAGGAACGCTAAGATTAGGAAACTCCAATCTTTTAAACAGGCTGCTAGCAAACCTACCCAAACTTTGCCCTAGAGGGAGACATTACCTTTATTATCTTGGACAGCAAATAAATTTCTCTGCTCCCAAGGGATATACTATCCATACCTTTAAAACTAGACATGCAGAAATACAGGAGACTGTGGAAATTGAATCCCAACATATGCAAATGTAATACTTATAAGCAGGACTATGATGATGAAAAGAGCATGCGCAAAAACTCTGGCTATAAAATTAGATTAACATTATAAATGTACTACGATCAATTCTTTCTGTAAAATTTCTTTGAAAATGAGTTATCCAATTGGAATAAACTTGTGGAATGATTTGTTCTGTTCTGGGACACTTTTATTATTTGATGACTTAATGAGTCATACATTCTTTTCTCTTACCAAGTAAATGTTGTCACTCCCTCCCCATGTATGTATATATGCCAATATTAACTTTATTGGCTAAAATATTTCTTACTGTGTTAGAGGAACTAACACTTTCTCAAGAGTGGCTTGTTCATTAGCAAGCTTCCTTCTTCTCTGCCTCTTCCTGATACAACTAGGCTTCACAAGGTTCAAGAAGTTCCTGTACTGTGGTGTGCAACAGGTATTCAGCTAACAGGTATTCAGCTCTGCAAAGTTGATTTCCTTCACTAATAAATATTTATTACTGTTTTTGACAGCTTAATTTTTAAGAAACATTTTAATCCTTGTCTTATTCTGCAAAGAACAGTTAAAATTATACTGTTCTGATTTTTTTTGTTTTGTTTTAAATTGCTGTCCTGAACTTTTTTTTTTTTTGTTTGGGGTTTTTAAAGGCAGGGTTACATAATTCATCCCAGTTCCAGAGAAAAGCAGAACTGTCCATTGCTATTACTTAATATACATCTACTACCAAAATAATTGAACATTTAACTTTTCACTGAGTGATAAAAACAGGCTGTTCCTTTCTGCGGATATAATTAAGATGCACATCTGGAGAGTTTGCCCAAAGGATGAGTCGCTGGTAAGGTTGTCAGATAATGTACAGGACGCCCAGTTAAATATGATTTTCAAATAAACAATGAACACCTCTTTAGTATAAATATGTCCTACATATTGCACAGAGCATACACTTACAGTATAAAATTATTTGTTATTCATTTGAAATTCACATTTAACTGGGCATCCTGTGTTTTTATTTGCTAAACCTGACAACCCTAGAAACAACCTTTCTGTAAAATTTAGCTTCTAGGTGTGGTTACGCTTTCAAGGTTTTGATAATGTGACATCTACATTACACTAAAGTAAACACGAGTAACTCTGCAAGTTTTTTAATTCATAGATGTGTACGAGTGATATTAAAATAAACCAGAGACTAGCTTCGAAAGAGAAAAGGAGCCCTGGTGGCTCAATGGTTAAGCTCTCGGTTCTGAAACGTTGGCGGTTCAAACCTACCCAGCAGCTCCTTGGGAGGAAAGGCCTGGCGATCTGCTCCCCTTAAAGATTACAGTCTAGGAAACTCTACTCTGTCACATGGGGTCGCTAAGAGTGCGAATCTACTGGATGGCACACAACAACAACAACAAGGGGAAAAGAAAGTTCCACAGGAAGGGCCTGAAAGGTCTTTGCTAAGAAGATGTGAACTTACCGAGGCAAAGGTTTCATCGCGCTTTAATGATGAAACAGCACGAGATCTGAGCAAGCAAATAAAAGACAAGCAACGACCGACTGGGCTCCGAGGGGCGGGACGAAGCCCGTCCGAGCCGAGAAAGGAGGGGCTGGACTCCGGGAATGGGCGGGCTTTGAGAGTGCGTGCGTGCACTGGGCGGGTCGCAGCCAATCGGAACCGAGCAAGGCGGGGCTGAGCCTCGGGTGGGCGGGTCGGGGAGTGGGGAGCGCTCGAAGTGTGTATCTCGGCCTCACCTGAACCTGTATGTTCCTTCTAGCAGGGTGGACGCTGAGTTGGGAGATTAACGATTGCTCGGCTCGTCATGGCCTACCCGGGATACGGACGAGGGGTGAGTCCTGGCCGCTTCTCTGCGGCCACCGCCCCCGCGAGATGTGACGCCCCTGCGGGCGGTGCCAACGTGCCGAGCCCGCCCTCTGCCGCTGCTTCGTCCCGCCGCCTCCAGCACCCGGCTGCCCGGGGTCACCTGGTGGTGCCAGGAGCCGGGACAGCGGTCGGGCGGGGGCGGTCGGGGGGGATCCGAAGGTGTTCTGGTCCTTCACGGCCCCTGACGGTGTCCTTGTGGAGCCCAGGATGTGATATGTTTTTGGAAATTCCTTTCCTGGAATGGAGGAATAAAGCGCCCTTTTTTAAGTTCCATTAATCTTTTGTGGTCCACCCACACCCCACAGAGTTTTTGCTGGACGTCTTTCTTCTGCATTTTTGACCACTTCCTGTTTTCTCGTTAAGTTGCTTGTGAGTAAGATATGCTCTAAATGTTTCCTAATTTTTCCTGTTTTACCAAAGGCAGTGTGTTTTTCTGGACTTTTTTGTTACACTTTCTTACATAACTGATTATTCTGTGTCACCTTTGAGAGTTCTGAAGTGTCGTAATTGTAATATCCTGGTGGTTAGCTCCTCCTTTTTGAAAAAGGAAGCAAACCTTCAGTATTTGCCAATGATCTCCAAAGTGGAGTGAGCATATTTTGTGTTCATAAAGTAGGGTGTGGGGTGATCCATTGGAGTATAAGTAGAAGATAATAGATTTTCTATTTTTATTTCTGTTTGTTTTTACCTAAAAAGAGAAATTGAGCTTCATTAATATTTAATATAGACTTGATATTGACATATGGCAGTGCTCGTCACACAGATTATTTCTACCTCTGGGAATTTTTTTTTTTTTTTCAAGAGAATGAATTTTCAGTACATTTAACGTACTCATTCCTATAATTGATTTGCCTGAAAATGTGCCAGAGTTTCTACTGGTATTTCTTCTGTACAGTGTTTACCCCTCATTCATCCTTAAACATACTAAGGAAGTGTAATGTACCTAAAGAAGGCAAAGCCTCCTTTAATGATTAATCAAGATAGCGTAAACTCATGGGACTTTTTAAGATTTCCCTGCCTTCTGCATATTTTCATCAGGGTGTAGCTTGCTGTTAAAGATGTGTTAGTTTTACTCCTTTTGGGGTGTTCTGAATTTATATATATATATATTTATAGATATATGGTAGAGCAGGATGGTGAGAGTAATGACAAATTTTCGTTCATTTTTTCTTTCTGCCACTTTTGTCAAAGAATGTTGCAATAGATGGAGAGTTCCATGAGAGCAAAGAGAATTTCTGCATGTGTTTTGAACAATAAAACCCCCTTTTCTGTTTATTTAAACACTAGCAGCTCTTTTCAGCACTTTTCATACTGATTATACTCTACTGATTAGAAGTTGTAAGGAAATGTACTCTCAAACAGCTAGCGGCACTGATTCTTTTAAATGTAATGGGACTATTGTAAGATACATAGGTTAAAATATACAGATAAAATTTATGTAATTTCTTTACTCAGAGCATATTATTTAGTGAGGTCGTTAAAACTGTTTTATATATCATGTTAGTTATATAGTTAGTCCACATCTTACTTCCTTATGTTTTCTAAATTCTTCTAACAAAATATAAAATGTTAGCTGCTAGACCTATTTGTTTTGGTAGATATTCTAGTTGATTCCGCCTCATGGTGACCCTACATGTATCAAAGTAGAACTGTGCTCCAAAGGGTTTTCAGTGGCTGATTTTTCAGAAGTCGATTGCCAGGCCTTTCTTTCGAGGTGCCTCTGGGTGGACTAGACCTTCCAACCTTTCTGTTAGCAGCTGAGCGCCTTAACCATTTGTTCCACTCAGGGACTTCCAGACTATTTGTAGGTTCCTACATTAGGTCTTTTCCCCCATGCTTGAAATTCTTTTCGCCTTCTGACAATTTCTCTTCATCCTTCAAGGATGCAGATCAAGAAGAGTTTTGTTCAAAATGTTATAATGAACAGACTTGATCTTCTTCCTGCTCCAGACTTATAAAAATGCTGAGTAAGATGCCTTTCTAAGGTATTAAAAATGCATACCAAGTTCCAAAGTGAATAAGGGAAATATTTTGATCTTAGAAAATAAGAGATAAACTATAGCCACAGTAGGAATTAATAGCGAGTAACCTCTGAGGTCAGACTACCTACATTTGAATACATGATTTACTCCTTCCTAGCTGTTTGACTTTGACCAATTCATGAAAACTCTTAGAGTTTCAGGTCCTCCACCGTTACTGTTTGAAAAATTAAATACCCACAGAGTTGTTTGAAAAATCAGTATAATGGAAAATACAGTAGTACTGGGATATAAAAAGCTTTCAATAAATATTATCTACTTATTATTGTTGTTATTAGCTTTGAAGAAGACTTTTGCTGAAATCATCACTTAATTGATCTTTTCATTGCCCTCATGCTTTTTAAAAAATAAAACTTTTCTTGGAGAGAAGAGGGCATTTCAGCTCTATGCAGTTTCCCAAGATTAGTTGACGGTTTCATTATATTTACCAGATATTCTTCTAAGTATGTACTTGAGGTGTACTTCTTCTTCGTTTTACTATAGCTGAAATTTTCTTTTATTTAAAAAATTGTGCCTCCTGTTCTTCTGTTAAGATTAAGTTTTTGGAGGCTAGAGCCTTTAGTTTTTCCTTTGTACTTCCTTAAAAATTAAAGTGAATTTCTGGATAAAATATGTTCATTAACTGAATCATGTCTTAATGTAAGACATCTAGCATTTTGTGGCTGAAAAAGCTTTTGTGGTAGGTAAGTTTGGAAGCTTCAGTAACTATTTCAGTTCTTACTTTTCAGTGGACTTCTCATAAATATTTTGCCTTTTAAACCAAATTTAGTGAATAGTAGGTAATATTAGTATTAATGATCTCCTTTTTCACTCTGATAGTTTGGAAATTTTCATGTTCAGATGCCAGGAATACAGATTCAAATGGGACAGCCAGTGCCAGAAACAGGTCCACAGGTGCTCCTGGGTGGATACCCTGGATACCCGGCATATTCAGATAGTTATCCCTCAGCTAGTGACCCCATGTGGACTTACTTCTCTGCTGTTGCTGGACAGGTGAGATACTAAATCCATTGTACAAATAGTTTTAAGAAAAATTGTTATTTAAAATAAATGCTAATTTATTGTATCATTTTAAATGTGTGTGAAATTTATTGAAACTTATCTAGACTAATTTTCTTTCTGAAATCAGAGAGGAGAGTAGTCAGAATTATTTCATTGTAAAAAGTCTGTCGATGTGATACCTGAATGCAGTGTTCATTTGAGTAAAAGAGGAAGTAGTTTTTTCATACTGTGGAAATTGACTTCCTTGCTTAGTAAGCTTCCCTTACTAAAATTCTTCTGCGGGAGACTCCTCAACCAAAACTATGTTATCTTCTTTTGAATCATCTTTGTATTTCCTTCAATGTGTTTGACATTGATACTATAAAGATAAATGAGGAATTTGAGGAACAACAAGAGGTTTTTACAAGTTAGTGTTCCAGGGAACAAGACTTTAAACTTGAACATTAATTCCATTAAAAAAACAAAAACAAAACTCAGTTAAAACCTAAGTATGTCAAAGTGTATAATAGGAAAACACTTCAAAAATTCATAAATTTATTCAGGTTGCAAAATTACATTTTTTTCCCAGGGTGAAGTTATACCATGTATAGTAATTTTGACTTTTCATGGCTGGAAAATTTTCCAAACTAATTTTATCAAAATAATGATGTTGGAATTTACTTTTCTATTTTAATTAAAAATTATAAGGAAAGATTATATGATATTAATCGTTGGTTCTGGCATTAGCATGTTATTAGTCTCTAATAAATTTGAACAAATATTTAAGAGATTGATTTTATTATGCCCATTTGGGAAATTTGAGACTGTGAATTCAGGTACATGAATTCTGTGTAATCCATACTGAAGGCTGTAATCTTTGATCTTTGGCTGTAAGTGCTTCAAGTCCTCTTCACTTTCAGCAGGCAAGGTTGTGTCATCTGCATATCACAGGTTGTTAATGAGTCTTCCTCCAATCCAGATGCCACGTTCTTCATATAATCCAGCTTCTCGGATTATTTGCTCAGTATACAGATTGAACAAGTATGATGAAAGAATACAACCCTGATGCACACCTTTCCTGATTTTAAACCATACGGTATCCCCTTGTTCTGTTTGAACGACTGCCTCTTGGTCTATGTACAGGTTCCTCATGAGCACAATTAAGTGTTCTGGAATTCCCATAAGAATTAACACTAGACCCCCATGTGTTTAGTGTTGTTGTTAGCTACATGGAATTTGAAACTAATTTTTTATTTTGTGGGTAAGGAAATAGTTAAGATGTGTTTCTTAGTTTTCATTCACTTCAAAAAGGGTTAATAAAGACTCAAATTATTTTTATATTCTTTGACTTAAATTTATAATGACTTTTTCTGTGTATCTTTGGAACCTACATTTTTTTTTCAACTTTGCTTTTTCTACAAACTTTGTTCTTTTTCCTACTAGAGAACCTTCACACCCTTCAAGATTCCTTTTTGTATATCTCTCAGAAGTATAAAAGTTAGAGAAATTTCTTCTGTGGGCTAAGTTGACCGTTTGTATGAAATATTATAGAAGCAGGTCATGCTTGAACAGAATCTGTCCCCAGGCCATACCGGATTGATTTCCCTTCATTTTAATTGGATTGGTCTAAATTTTGAGTAAATTCAAATTACTATTTTCTAGAAAGCTTTAAGATTGAGCCTGTTGCCTGCACAGTGCATTATTTTTATAAATAAATGAGAGAAAACTTAAGAAGTTTGACTAATCCTTATTAATTTTATTCTCAGGTAGAGTACCATTTTTCCACTTAAGAAGAATTAAAGAATAAAGTAATTTATAAGCATGTTACCTTTGGTGTACAAGAAGACGGTTTTTAAATTAAAAGAAAATAATTTCCTACCTTTTCTTCTATTTTAATAATTTGTGCAAGATTGTCTTTTAAAATGTACTCTACAGTGATTAAAAACAATTGGGTGTTTGTATTTGTCTTCACTGAGATGGTATTGACAATGGCAGCTGTCAAACTTAATTGATATTTTTTTTTTACTGTTGATTCCTGCTTGGGTCACGTTAGAAGTGTGTTCATAGTTTTTCACAATAGCCTTGAAATATAATAATGGTTTGAAACTGTTGCCACAGGACTTAAAATAGTGAGGTGGGTAATTGTTAGTTAAAATATGTGAAAAATTCTTTCTAAAGTCCTTGTCATTTGAGGATAAACTCTCTAACCTAACCTCAGATCTGAAAATATGGCTAATTTTAAAAAAAAATTATAATCATGTAGGATTTAAAAACTTAGTGGCAAGCAAGATCCTCAAAACATGCATGATAGAGAAATGAGCACTTAGATACTCGACAAGTAGGGAATATACCATTGAGAAGGATGCTTCTCAGAATTTTTTTAAATTCCTGTTAGAACCTGTGGAAGTTTTGTTATAAGGTGTTCTTGCCAAAGATCAATTAAAACATAAAGCCCGTTTGTAATACTTAATAGAACTAGTTTGTAAAGAGCTTTTTTGTTTCTTAGGTTTTTTAGCAAGTGTATGTTTTCAGTTTGCCTCCTTGATTCTTTCTCATAGCCGTTTTGCGTTTATGCCAATGTATGTGATGTTGTCAAGCGAATTACCTTGCCCTGTGTTTTTATAGGAAATAGGTTGAGGTATTTTAACATAATGAGAGTGTTCTACCTGTTTTGTTTCCATTGCAATTTCTTGTTTGCATGAAACATTTTTAATTTCCGTAAAAAGTTTAGACAAGATTGTTTGGCCGTTGGTCAGAAGAATAGCAGCAAACTGCAGGAGAATTCTGAAGATTTGCTAAGGGTAACACTGGGGGAAAAAATTCCCCTTCCAGTCAAATCTTCAGTGTCATTTAGAAAGAGTCTCCTTCTAAATGGGCATGAATGGGAAAGTTATTGAGATGTTTCTGAAAAATATTTAGACATATTTCTAATTGTTTTAAATAGAAGTACAATGACTCATGAGATATTACTTTGAGCTATTACAAGAAAGGGTGATTATGCTATTTTTCAGAATAGAGAATGTAAATTATATTTTAAATGCTTGAAAAAGCAGTAGAATATAATTTGTGAAAAAAATTATTCATGTTGGATGATGTTCTGTAATATGCCATTGTTGTCAATAATTATCCCTAGAATTTTATACTTGATAATAATGTTTTGAAAAATGCCTATTTATTAACTTAGAACAGCCAGTTAACATCTTAATATGCTTTTATACAAATGCACATGAAATCAAGTTACATGTATATGTATTATCTCTCACTTTCTATCTCTTGCTATGTATATATATATATATTTTGTTGTTGTTTGTTTTGTTTTGAACAGGATGGTGAAGTGGATGCTGAAGAACTTCAGAGATGTTTGACCCAGTCTGGAATTAGTGGAACTTATTCTCGTGAGATCTTTCTTCCCCCTGTTAAAATTGGAGTAGTACATTCATTTTCTAACTTTTTGTCCCCTTACTTTAAATTTTTATCACAGTTACACATGTTCATAGTTTAAAGAATGAGATAATTCTGCAAAGCTTGTGAAAATAACTGTTCATTGTGGCTCCCTAGCTCCCCAATATTCCTTTACTGTTATTCTGGACAGCCTTTCCTTCTTTCTTGAGTTCTATCTTCCATTTACTCCATTTCTTGTCCTCTTTCTTTGTTCACTTTATTATTTCAATGAAACATATTGTTAAGTAGCTTTTAAATAAAGGAGTGCATAGAAGGTAAATTTCATGTGACCTTGCATAACTGAAAATGTCTTCTTTCTACCTTCACAATTGATAGTTTGGCCAGGTATAGAATTCTAAGTTACAGATCATTTTCACTTAGAATTTTAAAGGTATTGCTTCATTATTCTAGCTCTCATTGTGGCTTTATTTTTCTGTTTCCTGCCTGTATATGACTTGTTTTTCCCTCTGGAAGCTTATAAGATCTCTTTGTCTCTAGTATTCAGATGTTTCACAATGATGTGTTCTGTTCTGTTTCGCAGGGAACTCAGTGGACGCTCTCAGCCTGGAAGCTCATTTGCTTTAGTTCTGGGAAATTTTCTTCAGTGATGGATGTTTTCTCTATTTTGTCTTTTTTGGACTGGCTGTTATTCGTACTGGGTCTTTTACTTTTCTTATCTTTTCTCTGCTATCTTTTTTTTCTTTACATTTTAGGAAATGTCCTCAACTTTACTTCCTAAACCTTCTATTGAGTTTTTCATTTCTGCTATTGTGTTTTTAATATCTGAGAGCTTCTGTTCTTTTTTATGGATGTGACTTATCTCTCTGAGACTGTTAATAAAAATTCTTTTCCTTTTCTTCTTTTACATTTTCTTCTTCCTACATAATCTCTGTCCCTCCAGGTTGCTCGTTTAAGTTTGTTTATTTTGGTCTGCTTTTCACGTTAGATGCTTTTCTCAGATGTTTGAGGACCCTTGGTTGCTTGTATTTAACTAAAAAAAACTGCTTGGAAATTCACTTCTGGGATCATGGTTAGCCTTGTTTGTTGTGGGTTTCAGTGTGTGGTGGTTTGGCTGAGCAGTTTTGTTGTGGAGCCATGGGTGTCAGTATCTTTAAGACTTTCCTCTTGGATTGATTCTGCAGTCTTCTGCCTGGAAAAGAGGAGGTGAGAACCCAGCAGGGTTCTCAGTCTTTTGTAAATTGTCATCTAATTGCTTTGTTATTAGTACATAGTCCTATCTTCAGCTGTGCCTTGTTTCCTGCAGTCCAAAGACCCTCTCCAGAGAATATAACTCCAGACTTCTGTTGGGGTGGGCATAGGGGTGGCAGCTGTGCAACTGAGCTGAGGCGGGGAGAGCACTGGGCTCTAAATGCTTCTCAGGCAGAGTTTTAGCCAGTCCTTCTGTCATTAGCTTCACCTTCACAGTCATTTTCAGAAGTACTGCTAATTCTTGAGCATTTGGGGTCTTCTCCAGCATAGCTAGACTGCTTCTTAGCTTTTCTCATTGTTGGTTCAGGAATCTGCTCTCTTAGATCTAGGTTGGTTAGCTCACATCTATCCAAAATTCTTTTGTTTTTATTTGCCCTCTCATTCTCTTTTTCTCTAAAGGTTTATACCTTTCTAAAAATCATTTTACTGCCCATTTTAATGGAGCTCAGAGAGGGAGCAAAAATCCGTCATCTTTCCTGAAAATTGTATATCTCCTTCAATGACAAATATTTACACGTATATATACAGGCAGCCCACCCAGGTTACAAACAAGATCTGTTCCTTTCTGTGTCTTTAAGTCGATTTCATAGGTAAGTCAGAACAGGTGCATACAGTTCTTATTTAACCTTACATGTACTTTAGCTCAATAAAAGGCTTGAAGCCTTTTCAGTGATTTAAAAGCTGCACGTGCAGCAAGTGAAGGTGATTGTGATGAAGAATGTGTCACGAATAGGGGTTGGTTTGATCATTTCAAAGTGAGAGTGAATTTACATAACATTAAAAGGCAAACAGGAGTTGTCGGTAGATCGGTTGTTTGTAATCTGGGGGACTGCCTGTACACTGTCCTATTCTGGGATTGAAGATGTACTTATTTACCAATTCCATTTTTGCCATTTATTATCAATTCAGATTCTCCCACTTCCTGAGTGTGAGCCATGTTAACTTTAGAGTCAAAAGGGTATTACTTACTTGACAAAAAAAAAATGGAATGTCATTCCAGAGATGTCTCAGGTAATATCCCCCTACCCAGGTAGCTTTTGTGTGAATAAAGGAACATTGGACTCCAATCCTACCTGTTCTACTTATTAACTCTGTGAACTTGAGAAACATAATCGTTCTGGGCCTCAGTTTCCTCATTTGTAAAACTGGGGATATTATACATTTGGCATATTTATGTGACATCACATAACACCCAATACTTAGCTCATTAAAACAAAAAAAAACCTGTGCCGTTGAATTGATTCTGACTCATAGTGACCCTATAGGACAGAGTAGAACTGCCCCATAGGGTTTCCAAGGAGCAGCTGGCTGATTTGAAGTGCCGGCCTTTTGGTTAGCAGCCATAGCTCTTAACCACTGCGCCACCAGGGTTTCCCCTTCTCCCTAGGTTCTAGGCAAAGCCAAGTGTGACATCTCTAGGTAGTATTTTTTAGTTATTTTTAATAGTTACCTTAACCCCCTCAATAGACTGTGAACAGTTTGAAGGTAGTAATTTTTATTTTAGTCTTTTTTTTTTTTTTTTAAACCATGAATGCCTCCTCACATTCAGTAGAAGTTTGTTGATTGAGGTGATTATGTATTTTGGTAATTTTTAATGTTTTGTTTTGAAAAAAGATATTGTCGTAATTTTACATAGGTAAAATTGGGCAGACTCCAATTCAAAAATTGAATATATTTTACAGCTTTCAGTTTGGAAACCTGCAGACTTATGATTGCCATGTTGGATGTATCCTTGAATAAAAACAGAAAATATTAGAATATGGAATGATTTCCTTCTTAATATTAAGACAGTTGTTAGTTATAAATGACCATAGTAAATTGGAAAGTTTAAAAATACATTGTAAGATCCTACGTGAATTCCATCCTTTTATATTTTTACATTGAGATCCATTTATATGATAAATTTGGCTAATTCTACAGAAACGTGCTAATTTTTTGATCAATGATTTGGAGTTTTGGGTCAGGTTGATTTTCTTTGGCATCAAAATTTATTTTTGTTAATAAACTACCAGAGGGATTACACAGGAAAAATGGGATTTAATGAATTCAAAGAACTTTGGGCAGCTCTTAATGCCTGGAAGCAAAACTTCATGGCTGTTGATCAAGACCATAATGGCACGGTTGAGCCTCATGAATTGAGTCAAGCCATTGCAGCTATGGGTAAGAATATTAAAATTCTTTAGAATTGATCCAGCTTCATTTTCTTCTTCGATAAGATGAATCTAATTTGCTTTAGTTTGCTAATTAATGAAGGAATATATTATCTTACCAACTTTGCCTAGTTTGGTTTTCTTTTTTTTAAATTGTGGTTTAGGTGAAAGTTTACAGATCAAGTTAATTTCTCATTCAGAAATGTATACATATATTTTGTGACATTAGTTGCAGTCCCCACAATGTGAGCACACTCCCCCTTTCTACCCCAGGTTCCCTGCGTCCGTTCGACCAGTTCCTGTACTGACTAAAGATCTTTAACAAAACTATTTTAACTATGATTTTTCAAAAGACTATATTTCATACATGCTGGTTAATAATTTCTAAGTTTTCTCTGTTGAATATATTTAAATTTATGCCTCTAATTGTTAGTACTCACCATATTCTCTTGTAACTTTGTAGGATCTCTCTCAATTGGGAGGAAAGGCTGTCTGAATCAATTACAAGTCTATGTTATAGTCTAGCTTTTCAGCAGTAAAGGCCATGTTTTCTTCTTCTTTTCCTTATGAACACAGAGTACATACCAAAATACCTCACAGTGGGAAGTCTGCATTTTGGAATACTTTAAAATAATGTAATTTTTTTTTTTGGTCATATGAGCTAAGGTTCTTGGTCTACTTTTTTTCAAAAAGTGATCATATATAATGATGTTTAATTTGCTTACAGTTATTGCCCTTTGAAGTATTTCTCTTAATTGTGGTTACCCTTGTGATTTTAATTACCCTCATTTCTAAAACAAAATGTATTTATAAGAAAGTTATCTCTTTGAAAGTTAAAATCTGAACCCAACTCATGCAGACTTACCTCAGGTTCCAATTTAAAGGAGTCAAAACTGGTGAGATTTTTGTTTTGTTTAATAAATAGACATTTTAATTTAATATTGATGATTTTAGGGTCAATTCTCATATGAATATGTATAATTCACTTTAGAGCTTTAATACCTAAGGGATGAAACTTGGTCCTTAATTCAGCTTAATGTTGGAAAATTAATAATAGTCTTTTGCGAAAAAAATGAAAACCTCCAGAGTTCAAATAAATAATTGAGTGTAGAAAAAAGAGGTGTTCTAGATTTTTCAAATTAACATCTTCAAATAAATTTATAAATATTCCAGATATTTTGCCGAGAGTACTATGGGAAAATCTTATTTTTATCAGTATCACATCCAGATCATAACTATCTAGTAGGAAGCTCAAAATGCATTTGTGTATTATAATTACATTAGGTTGCATGCTTTAGTTGCCTTCTCTCTCCATTTATCAGTTTACGTTCATTTACTTTTATCAAGTTTCCTGGGTTAAATTTTATTATAACTGCACATAGAATTTTCTCCTATTGTATTTATTTTCATTATTTGAATGGATTAGTGTCTTTTGTCAAATACTATTGATCTAGTAATATATAATGCCAATAATACCTAGGCCAGCATATTGCATTGTAAGGTATATACATCTCATTAAGTGCATAGAACAGTCTATAGAGGTGCAAACCAAAAATAAATCCAAACCCATTGCCATCGAGTTGATTCCTACTCATAGAGGGTGCAGTAAGTAGAATATATTAATTTCTGTTTCTAATTATTATTTGTATTTATTTATATATTTTTATAAATTTCAATATTTATGTATAT